GATACAGATACAGATACAGATGCAGATACAGATACAGATACAGATACAGATACAGATACATCAGTTATATTTCGAGCATGTTGCAGATGCCGTTTATATATCTCCGCTGAATTGCATGCATTGCGAGCTGTGTCACCTGATGCTCAACCATGACAAGCACGTCCTATGCGAACAGCCACTCTGCATGGATGAGCAGCAAGTGGTTCAACTTGTGAGCAAAGCGAAGGCACGTGGTTTGTTTCTGATGGAGGGCGTCTGGTCGCGCTGTCTGCCCGCCTATCAGTGTTTGCGCAGCGAGATCATGAGACGGAAACTGGGCACAGTCTACGACGTGAAGTGCCAACTGGGCTGGCGTCTGCCCATCGCCCAGACCAGCAGGGCGACCTATGCGGGCGTGACAAAGAACTGGGCGGCTGACTGCATACAGCTAGCGTTATGGATCTATCGGGAGGTGCCGATGTTTGTGAAGGCTGCGGGCAAGCTCAATGATGGGGGCGTTGATGTGGCCGCCGAAATAGAGCTGTGGTTTAAGAACAATCGGTGCGCTATCCTGGAACTCAGCGCCGAGAAGAATCTGGAGAATGTTGCCAGCATACGCGGTACCAAAGGCTCCGTCATAGTAAGTTCTAAGAATGAAGCCAACTTAGAAATAGAAGCCAACTTCTTATTCCTCCTAATCATTTCAGATGAACAACTTCTGGTGTCCCAAATTATTGTTATTTAATAATAAGGAAATCAAATTTAAATTGCCAAGTACTGATCGGCCAACGTACTTTGACAGTCGTGTTGGCATGTGCTACGAAATGGAGGAGATGCGCGAATGCATACTAAAGGGACGCACAGAGAGCAATCTGTTTAATCACAGCGAGAGCCAATTGATGATCAATCTAATTGATCAAGTCACGGACATGCTGGCAGTCAAGGGGCAACACATAAACGTCCAGAGCGTTGCGGCAGTTCAGTAAAACGCTGACGGATCGTGTGAAATTCTCTACCTTAAGAACTTTGTCTTATTTTAAAATCTTTTGATTATTAAAATATGTAAACAATGTTAGAACTGCTTACACTGCACTGTTAGCTAAGACACACACCCAAGTGTAAAGCGCTTTTAAGCTTAGCGTAGACAACAATCTAATCAACATTTTCAGCTTTTACAACACTTCAAGGCCTGATCAATACAATTCGAAAATTAAGAATAACAAAAACAAAAACTTCCGAGCTTCGGGAATCTTCTATTACGATGTTTCTCGAAGTTTTATTTTTTGAAGCACGTTGAACTTTTGATTCGGTATAGCTCGAGAAAGCCCGAGGTGTTGAATGAGTAATATGTCCGTCAGTTGATAGCGGTAGACGATGCTTATCACCGGCTCGTCTGATACGTAAGAATTGCATTTATATAAATAAGTGGCCCACTAATCAAATTAAAAGCTTTTCTAAACATAAACCTTATGGGCAAATGAGGAAAGTAGGTCAGCGGGCAGGAGAGCGTCAGCCGACGTGGGACAGGCCTTCGTTCTTAAGCTAACACGCAAAACTACATACATATGTATGTATGTATGTACATACAATATGTTTTTATATATTTTTATATATGTACATACATATGTATGTATATATGTACGCACATATGGCATTTACGTGCTGCCACACACGTCTGGTCTTTGTTGTTTGAGGATAAGCATTCAGTTTGTTTTCCTCTATATTGGCATTTCAGTTGTAACGGAAAATTTTTGGCAATGAGCCGGCCAGTGACTTGGAAATGCAACATGTGTTTTTGATACCCGATCATAATGATGATGCAACTTAAGAAACATACATATGTATGTACATACACATGTGCACTCTCCCGGGCACTGACGTGGCGTCAAGTAAGAACAATTGCATACACTCGCACTTAAAATACACACAAATGTATGTACATATATGTATATAATGTATTTTGGAAAACGTGTCTATTATGAAAGACATTTAAAATAATTTATATACGAGGCGAAAAATGTGTTTGACGTTGCGTTTCTGTTTATGTTTTTATTTTTTTGTTTACCGCGCATTTTGTAAACACAACAAAAATTAAATTGCGCAGCAATTATTGTGGAAAGCTTCTCATTCTCTCTCCCAGAACTTTTGCTCATACATGTTTTACGAGCGAAAGAGAGACAACGAGCAGAACAACAAACACCCCAATAGCAAATGATATAGAAACTTCCAGAGTTTACATAAAACTCCAAATGAATTTGTAGCTTATCTTAGTAGGCGATAGTTTACTTTTGGGGTAACTAACATTCGAAAATGTATTCAGTTTTGGCAATGTGTATACATACTATAAACCGTTCATATGGAGCTAACAGTCAGACAAATCCCTGCTCAAATTAAAAAAGCCTTTGCTTTATTTTAAATTAATACAGATTTAAAAAATAAATAGGCAATACAAATCAGGTAAATGGATAAAATGTTAAAAAAAAATTATTCAACTTGAAATACACACCGCTGAATTGTCAACAGGGCAGGCGCTTGTGAGAGAATCAGTGAGCGAGAGAGCAACTCATCAAACCTCGTAAGCGGTTCGAGAAAAAGCTCTGGCCGGGTAGTATATAAGCAGGTGGCCGTATGCGACAAAAAGTTCAATTTCCATTCGTACTTTACTGTGACAACGTCGTAGCTAAAAACCAGTGGAAGTAACGCATAAACCAAAATAAAAACTTTCATCCAAAAAGAAAAATCTGGAGAGAGAAACAACAACTGAAAGGCCATACCTATAATTATAAACAAGATCTCAATAAATTACATACGTACATATATAAGAAGAAGCAAGCAACATGTCTGAGGCATACTTTGATGAATACGAGCACTACAACTTTGACCATGGCAAACACATCTTTTCGGGCCACAGCGGCAAGCAGCGCTCCAAGAAGGAGGCCAGCGAGCACACCAACCACTTTGACCCGTCGGGCCACTCGAGGAAAATTTTAACCAAACTCATGAACACCAACAACAACAAAAAGATTTTGAAAAACTGATACACCAGGTGTACAAAGAAAGAGACGTTAGCACATCGAGTGACTTGAGAGTGTGAGAAAGGAAGAACAAAAAAAAAGTAAGAAAAAACACCGAATTAAAAGTGCACAGCGAAGAAAAAAGGAAAGAGCATAAGGAAGAAATTTGAAAGCAACTCAAAGCAACCCAAGAAGAAAAGAGAGGAAAGGAGAATTTAAGCTGCTTCGGCGGCAGCTGGCACTGTCGGCTGTCGCTGAAAAAAACACTGGAATTACGTATTTGAATATACATAGTACTAGTTTCTACAATTTCCTAAACTTAATACATACATATACTTACGGACTTATAATTTAGTCTTAAGCTTAGTACGTTTCAAATTATGAAGTTTGCTTTAGGTATAACTTATCAAATAAAAATGAAAACTAATATAGAGATTTGATTGTGTATTTTTTGCATTGGAAGTGGGCTTCGTACACCCAACTCACACACACACCAGCACAAAGTCAGAAAAAAGCTTTGTTCGTATTTGTGTTGCATCCGATTGCATCTCCCTCCCGCATTGGGCGATTGTGAATGCATGTACATATGTATGTTTGTATGTACATATTTTTAGCCTTTTAGTTGAACTCATTTGCACTCAGCTCTGCGCCTTGCGATCGTCAACCACATGCATATAAATACATACATATGTACGTATGAGTTTGTATATATTCTTTGTTTTTGTTATCTCGGAACTTCAATGCAAAATGTCTGATTAGTATCGAAGCGGACATAATGTTCTGGCCTTAGCATCGCATATACGCAATAAAAACGTCTTTCTGTGAGGGAACTAAGTAGGAACGTTAATTACAGCTACACACATACATATATGCAAATTCTAATTGCCTATTCATATTGCCTCTGCCCCATTCAAATAAGAATATTTTTTAACTCTGATATGAATTGAGCTGTTATCGCAACGCTGTTCTGTTAGTGGTAAATGTTTTAAGAGAGTTTCATAGCAGAGAGCTTCCGCAACACGCTACATCCAGCTGTCACATGTGCCTAACAGCCGTTCAACAGCTCAACAGTTACGCAGCTGTTCGACAGTTCGGTGTGTTCTATTTTCTAAGCAGGCTAGTTGTATTCCACAATATTAATTTTTATTTACTCTTTACTAAAAAGCATTCAAGCAACAGTTCATATTTGCAAAATTCATTGCAGTGTTAAATTACAAGACAAACGTGAGTAGCCAATGGTCGCCCACCTATACTTCAGCCCCCCAACCATGTGCTAAAAATCAATAAGGGGAAGGGCAAAGCTAAAGCTGCCAAAATCGTGGGCCCCCCGCCCGGTATATACTTAGCGAATCGCCGCTATTCGCGCTCTGAGCGCTCAGAGCCCCCAGTGCGTATGATAAGACGGCCGAGCAGTGATTATTACACAATGTTTTCGTCTTTTTGCAGTTTCTACAAGCTGCACACACATTTAGGAAGGCCCACAAATGGCAACGTTCCTGAACATCAACTCCATTAAACTAAACAAATGGCAAGTGGCCCTCATCTTGGGCACGCCCTTGGCCATCGGCCTGGGCATATATGTGCTGAATCGCAGTTCGCGCGACGGCGCCAAAAGCGGGAAGACGCCGGGCAAGACCAGTGATGCCGGCAAGACGCGACAGAAGGGCAAAATCGAGAAGCAGAACCTGTCCATCGATGGCACCGCCACAGATGCGGAGCTGGAGCAAAAGAAGAAATCGGCAGAGCTGGGCGAAGAGATGTCGCCGCTGAAGGAGGCCAATAACTACAAGACGGAGGGCAACAATTGCTACAGGAATGGCAAATACGATGAAGCAATTAGCTTCTACGACAAGGCCATAGACAAGTGTCCCACCGAGCATCGCACCGATATGGCAATATTCTACCAGAATCGCGCTGCGTCCTACGAAATGCTTAAGAAGTGGAACAAGGTCAAGGAGGATTGTACCCTGTCGCTGGAATACAATCCGCGCTATGCCAAGGCCTACTATAGGCGGGCGCGTGCCCATGAGGCCACCAAAGACATGGTCGAGTGCCTAGACGATGTGACAGCCACCTGTATACTGGAGATGTTTCAGAACAACAACACCATCATGTTCGCCGATCGCGTGCTGAAGGAGACGGGCCGCATCGACGCCGAAAAGGGTCTACGGGATCGTGTGCCCGTGGTGCCCTCATCCAGCTTCATTAACACCTACATGCGTTCCTTTATAGCCGATCCCCTGCAGACGATGGTCCTGCCCGAACCAACGGAAAATGATGCGCCGCCGCGTGGTTTTATACGCGCTCGACGTGCGTTCGACGAACAGAAATATGATGAGATCATTGCGGCATGCACCGAAGAAATCGAATCCTCCGAGGCGGAATCGCAGTACAAGGTGGAGGCGCTGCTAATGCGTGGCACATTCCATTTGCTGTGCGGCTCCTTTGCCGACAGCAAGCTCGACTTTGACGCCATACTGGCGAATGGTAACTGAATCGATATCCGATTCGATATAAATAAATCATTCCTTCTCTAATGGCAATCTTTTTGTAGCCGATGCGGACATCACACTGCGGAGCTATGCGTATATCAGACGTGCTGCGTTATTCATTCAGACGGAGGAGCGTGAAAAGGGATTGGCTGATTTTGCAGAAGCCGAGAAACTGACGCCCGACAATCCAGATGTATATCATCAGCGTGCACAGATCCTGCTGCTGCTGGAGCAGATCGACGCGGCGTTGGTGGAGTTCGACAAGGCTGTGCGCCTGGCGCCCAATCATGCCATTGCCAATGTACAGAAATGTTATGCCGAGTACCGTATGGCGCTGATGTCCGGCGATCAGAAGGGCCTGGAGCGCGTGATCAAGGACTTCGAGCTAGCTATCAAAAAGTTCCCGGACTGTGTCGAGTGCTACAGTCTAATGGCTCAGGTGCTGGCCGACCAGCAGCAGTTCCCGCAGGCGCAGAACTTTTACGATATGGCCATGAAGCGGGCGCCCACAAACCCCGCCCTCCTCGTCCATCAGGCGATCATGATGCTGCAATGGCGCGGCGACATCGATGCCGCTGTAGCGCTGCTGAATCGTGCCATCGAAGTGGATCCCAAGTGCGAGCTGGCGTATGAGACGCTCGGGACCGTTGAGGTGCAGCGCGCCCAGCTGCGGCGTGCTGTTGACCTGTTTGAGAAGGCGCTGCTCTATGCCAAGAGCCAGGCGGAGCTGGTCCACGTGTATTCGCTGCGTAATGCGGCGCTAGCTCAAATCAATGTCACCCGCAAGCTGGGCATCGACATGAATTCCGTGTCGGCGATGGCCCAATCCGGTTTCATGCAACAGGGAGCCATGTAGACGAGACGCAAGCAGACGAGGAGTATAGATTGGCCCCCACCAGCACCCCCTCCACGCTATATGGTGGAACGATGGCAGCCAAATAAGCAAGCATTTAAATGCGTTTCAACTGACGTTGTGTGTGCTACCTAAGTATATTTACACTGACCTATTTCCGATCGACTCGCACACACAGACAGACAGACAGACAGACAGACAGATAGACAAACACACATACACTAATCAATGAAATGAAATGATCATACCTGTTATATATCCACAAGACACATAAAAGATATGGAAAATCTTATTTTAGTTATTGTGCTTTAGTTTTAGCAATGAAAGTCCTCTATAATGAAACATATAACACAACTGTTAAGTATCTTTTTGTGTATTTCTATATATATGTATAGTATTGCCTAAGCGAAAACTATCTAATATAGTTAAATGTTAGCCTAGCTTTAACAAAATTATAAAAATTTCTAACAAAAAAAAAAAAAAGAACAATTGGGCTCAGGAACGATTTGCCGAAGACTCCAATTGATTGTAGGATTGCACCTCGCCCGATATATAGCCGGCACAGATAAACCACAGGGTCGCTCGAATGCTGCCAATGATGGCGTATTCCTCCTCCAGTTTCTCCAGCACGGGCAACACCAGCCCGGGTAGCGCACCCAATCCATTGGTGATGCCCATCAAGGTGCCGGCAAAGTTGGGACTCATGTCCAGGGGCAGCAGCTTGATGCCCGCATAATAGGCGCCAAAGGCCAGGATGCTCCAGGGTCGGGCCGAGCTCTCCTTGTCATGGATAAAATACATGGTCACGCTAATGAAGACCAGCCAGGACATTAGGCGACGCGTCTGCGTGCGATTCAGGATGCCCTCGGATATCAGATAGTCGCTGAACGAGCCGGAGGTAAGGGATGCCAGCCAGCTGTAGAGATGTGGCGCCATTAGGCGAACGCTGGTCTCCAATTCGTTCCAATAGGATTTGCCCTTGGCCTCCAAGTCAAGCAGCATCTGTTCCAGCTCCTTGGCAAACTCCTGTTGATTCCAATCGTGCTGCATGTTGGATGCTATCAGCGCCCAAATGGGTGCATTCAACAGCATGTTGCTCCAGGGCACAACCTCATTGGCATCCCCAGGCTCCGTTTCCAGTGTTTCGCACACCTGACTCTTGATATACTCCCGTTCGCTGCTCTGTATGTACGGCGAGTCATCCGGCTTGCTATAGCAGACCACAACCTGCAAAGGATCAACCACATTAGCGATAGCCAATCAGGCAGAGATCTCTTACGAAGCCCATGAACCAGAGAATCGCTCCACTGCCCACCACATAGAAGGCCACCGCCCAGTCCTGCTCATCGATCGTAAACCCACTGACCAGGTGCATAAATATGATGCCAATTTCGCCGGCGCTCAGCACCGAACTGCACAGCCTTCCGCGCTCCTTCTCCGGCACCCATTGGGCCAGCATTGCGCTCACAGCCGGAAACGTGGGTCCCTCGAATAGGCCAATCACCATGCGCAGCAGCATCACAGATTTGGGTCCTCCACGTCGCACGATTGTGGGCGTGAGCAGGGTTAAGATGCCCGACGATAGTATCGAAGCGCCCAAGATCCATTTGCCGCCGTAACGCTCCGCCAGCCGCCCGCCCGGAATGTGGGTGATCATGTAGCCCACATAGAAGGATATTGTGATCAGCACCTGCACCTCCTTGGTCCATATGTCGGCACTGTTGGTCACGGTAATGGACTCCG